ATCTAAATGAATTTCATGATTGCACATGGGTTCCATCTCCAAGATTTCTCATTATGTATGCATATGCAAACATAGGTATTCCAAATTTCAGAAAAATCTGAAATCCAAAACACTACTTGCCCCAAGGATACTCAGCCTGTACTTCTTTTTAATCTATGCTATGAGTCAGCTTGGCTCCCATGTTTAGAGAAAGACAGGATACTAACAAAAACTTACATTTGAATTTATTTTCTTTCACTATTTTTTCAGATGTGTGCATCCAGTCACTTCCAGTGGCTAAAATTCAGATATATGTGTGTGCCTTCAAGTTACCTACCAACTTATGGAGACTATTTTCTTTCCATTTTCCCCCATGACCAATAACCAGCCATATTGGCTGGCAGATTTCATGAACAAACATTCCAGCTGTGCAAAATACCCACTGATGATCCAGTTGTCCACAACAACTCCAGTGGGCCATTGCTTCTCTTTTAGCAGCCCGTGCTCCCTTATAACGAAAGGACATCTACAAGGATTCCTGTGTTGCTTCTGTCACTTCTTTTCAATTCTGAATTACCAACCAATCCTTTGAAAATGGAAAAAAGAAACCCTTTCTAGTTAAGTATCCAAACCTCAAAGCGATTAGCAAATGGGACTTAATATGGCTTTAAGACTAACCCAAGGGCGAGGGAGGGTAAAAGGCAAGCAGCTTTCCTCCAAGTTATTCTGCCTACAGCATGCACAATGCCACATGGAATTATGGTGGACAACTAGCCTGAGATGCCCCTGCTGTATAGAGTTCAGTACACTTTCCTCAATTTGTTATGGTGTCTCATCTGATACAAGCCCTAAAAGAAGAACACAGTCAGTTCTTTCTGGTGAGCCCAATACCATGCTTAACCTACAAGTATCTTTCAACTCTTTGAATTTGGCAGGCATAGTCCCAAATTCATTATCTATCGTTTCACATTTTCAGTAGCTTTTAAATGTCCCAGTTTCTCTTTCTCTCACACATGCCTCTTTGTCTACAGATTACTTCAGTTACTGCATACTGAATTCAAAGTGCAAAAGCAAGGACAGGAGAAAGTACACACAGGTAGAAGCAAACTGCTTCAGCCTCTCCTGTATATGGGCCTTTCCAGACAAACCCTATATCCCAAAATCTGATCCCAGGTTTTTTGCTTTAAACTGAATTATATGAGTCCACACCGTCAGATAATCTAGGATAAACAGAAAACCTAGGATTAGATCCTGGGATATAGGGCCTGTCTGGAAGGGCCCTAAGTGTTCTTCCTCAATAATACCTTTTTTCATCTTGTCGACATTCTGATGTCACTTGACTACAAACAGCCATTTCTATTTGAGCATGTGACAGCTTAAAAATACCTTCACAGCTCTGAAGACACATGCATTTTAATGTATTTCAGTAAGCTTGGAAAGAAATCTTCAGTTATGGGTAATGACATTAGCAACATACTTCCTTATCCCTCAAAAAGTTTTCAAAGGTGAGAAATGTTTTATGTGAACATATGAAAGGACAGAGAATATACATAGGAATGAAAACATGTTTACCTAAATCTACAAGCAGCTACTGCTAAACTCATTTTATATTCAACAGAACATAATTTTGACAACAGACAGTATATGCATATACATGTCAGCTGAATAGCAAATTACTTCAAAATACTTGTCAACTATCATTTGATGCTGCAGCTACACAAGCAAGAACACCCAATATTCTCCTCTTGTTTGTTCTGTTAATTGAAAAGGAAAGAGTTATAATAGAATCCTATGGATTAGTTCTAACTAGAGTATAGAGCTATTCAATCAATTGTTGACTAGAAAAACAACAGAAAGGTAATTCCTGTTGATTTGGTGGACCTTCTCTGGTCAAGAATAACAACAGGATAGGCCTCGACATATTAAGGAGGTTTGATAACGTGATTCTCTGGAAAATATTGAACTAGAACCCATTGTCTTTCACTACTGGGTACACTGACTACAGCTGATTTTAGTTGCAGTCCAATAGCATCTGGAAGACTACTAGTTATTAGGGCTGTGCAAAACTTCGGACACGGGTCATAAGTTGAATGTGTTTCAGTAAATCACAGAATCATTGAGTTGGAAGAGACCTCGTGGTCCATCCAGTCCATCCCCCTGCCAAGAAGCAGAAAATTGCATTCAAAGCACCCCTGACAGATGGCCATCTTGCCTCTGTTTAAGAGCCTCCAAAGAAGGAGCCTCCACCATACTCTGGGGCAGAGAGTTCCACTGCTGAACAGCTCTCACAGTCAGGAAGTTCTTCCTAATGTTCAGGTGGAATCTCCTTTCTGGTAGTTTGAAATTGTTCCAAATCCTAATCCATACTTACAACCTGCATTACAAAGTCAGCACAACCCACTGCCCCATCACACACAAACAAATTATTTCATAAGAAGTTTGTTACTTTTCGTAAGTCGCAGTGAGTCCGCTTCTTCTTCAGCACAAGCAAACTCTATTGGGTGGTGCAGGCAAACTTGGTCTGTTACATGCTGTTATCAGCCTATCAGGGCTGAAGGAGAGGGGAAGGAAGGAGATGCTCCTGGCATTTCCTTTAAATACAGGAGCCACGTTGTCGCCATTGAGAGCAAGCTGGGAGAGAGCTAGAGATCTAGGTTAGCAACTAGTAAGAGAGCAATTCAGTAGGGAGCGACTAACTAGGAACTGAATTCACAGCTTAGGATTCCTTTTAGGATCGTCACACCTGAGTTTAAGATCCTTTTAGCAAAAGCTAGAATAGGAACACTACAGTATATTCATTGCTTTTATTTGTATACATTTTTAAAAATTCCTAAAAATTGGTAGATGAGCAGATCTTTCTGAAACTTGACAGGAATGATGCCCTGCTCCTGTTCTGTCGCTGTGGAGAAATTCCAGGGGATAGCTTCTTTTGAGGTTTTTTAATGGGCAAAACTTTAAGCATTCCCTAAAAATCAGTGGATGTGCTAATATTTCTGAAACTTTGGAGGAATGATGGGGAATTGTAGTGAAATTCAAGGGGATAGGCTTTTATAATTTTTTTTAATGTTGTTCATAAAAAATACTTTTAAAATTTCCTAAAAAATCAGTGGATGAGCGAAACGTTCTGTAACGGGGGGGGAGGAGGGCTTATAGTGGTAAATGTGTGCTACAATTGTAGCAAGATTCATCCCAATAGCCCTAAAAATGAGGGAGAGAGGAGCCCTGGAAGTGTTCCCATAGATACAAATGAGCGAATAACATAACAAATAACTAACGAAATTCTTGGAACTTCATATTAGATATGACACGGACCCCTTAAGAATTTTTCAAAACACTTTAGAATTGAAACGGGGGGTACTTGAATTTTGTAAATACAAACGAAGCAGATTTTTGGCGTTATGCACACTTCTACTAGTTATGCATAATTGTTTTAGATTTTGTAGTTGTTATCTTGGGATTGTCTGTGGGTTTGTTTCTAGAATATAGACAAGGAATTGAAACAGATTCCCATTTGCTCACTGTCACATGAGTTCTAGTACACAGATCAGGGCAAGTAAAAGTGGAGTGGGGAATGCTGAATAGTGATTATCACTTTAAACCTGATCTATTTGGTAATCTAGGATGGATAGAATAAGGTTTATGAAAAGTATATGTTTTCCAATCCTGAAGATATCGAGTAAACGGTGCATATTTTAGAAGGATTTATTCAATGAATTACTGAGCACACTGATATGATAGCTGGCAAATAGATATAACAAAAAATACTTGAATGCAATCTCATTACTGTTTTATGTATGCTTTCACTAATTTGAACTTTGTATTTAATGTGACTGGCCATTTTTATCTATGTTAGATTTTAAGGTATTAGTGGATTTAATGAATATGTTAATATAAACTTTTAAAAAATAAAAGGAAGTGTCTATATATTGCTTTTTTAAAAGCAACAAAATGTTTCCTACATTCCAGCTGGGATTGCTTTATACTTTTTCAATCAAATGTAGCATAACAGTCACAGATTCTAGTTTATCTATTTATCTTCTTATCTCTGCAAGGAAGCCAGTAACCAATGTTTCATTAGGAGCTAAACCTTAACTCAGTAAAGAGCTACTATGTTTTATGCTGCTCTGAAGAAGACTGTACCTTGGTAGTTCCACATTTATTTCTAACATCAATAATATAGACCTTTATTTGAGGAAAGATTTTATTTTACAGTCAGCACCACTTCCATGCCACTTACAATAAATCCGGTGCATAAAATGTATTATCCTAGCATTTTCCGTACAAGGGCTTCACACTGCTTTATAAAAATGACCCTGAGCTATCAATACATTTAAAAGGAACACTTTCGAAAAAGTAACAGCAATAGACTCACTTCATGAGTCATGGTCTGTGTTAAAATGAGAAGGATTGAGAATCATTACCTTTTAATATATCCATAGGTTTTGTGGAAGAAGTTATTAGATCTGCCCCATAAGGGCTTCATCTTGTTTTCAACTTAGAAATACATCGCTTACTTGTTTCCCTTGATATTTATAGAGATCCTATCATATTATCAGATTAGGATTTCGAAGAATGTTGAGGATGAGAAAAATATATTTACAATAAATAAGGAGAACCAGAAAAGTTAGAAGAAAAAGGGGGGGTGCTTTGTTGTTTTAAAAGTTAGCTATTATGGGATTGCTTGACAAGGGTAGATTGGATCCCCTACTTTCCTTGACTTCACTTGCATTATCTTCTTGCAAGCTCTCCCCACGGGAGCACTGATGGAAAGTGACCTGCTGCAGAGTTAATGTGAGGTTCGAGCTGAATTTTTGACTAGCTGAGCTCAGCACCTGGGAAAGCTGCAGCTGATTAGCTCCACTAAAAGCTCAGGCCACAATAATTCACAGAGGAGTAAAGTAATTGTAACCACTGCCTATATGCATGGATAAAGTGTAGCCAAGGAAAGGGTTGAAGGGTGCCATAGAAGTCTACATAATGGGGGTTGGAGGAAAAGGAAGGGAAACACACATTCTACTCACGTTTGTGATTTTCATTTCTGTGGACAGGTGAGGAACGTGTGTCCTGCTCCTGAGCCTCATCCCCTTCTTCACTCGCAAGGTGAGTGTGAGCATAATGGTAGCTCAATCCAGGCCTGTTCTTATAGCGTTTGCCACAGACTATGAACAGAGGAAACACAAAGAGCAGTAGACAGAGAATAATATGTCAGAAACAGCAAAATGAGTTTAGAATATTGATCCAGAACTATTTTCTAGACATTTAAATTCTTATATGTATTTCAGAGTTTTGAAAAGTTGGTTTGTTGCAAAACAATTTACAGAATCACATGGTCGCCCTGGCCAAGTTAGCTGGGGATTCTGGGAGGTGCAGTCCAAAAGAGTAGCTTTTTCCAGGTCTGGCATTTCTTGCCACCAGAAAGCTATTTCTTTAAAGAGCTGGGTGAGTCCCAAACATATTATGCACTTGAGTAGAGATATCCATGTGCAAACTACTTCTGTCTTATGCCAATAAACAAAAGACCATACATGAAGATTTATCTTTTTTCCCCTAAAAGGGTCACACAATGTTTTATAAACTTAAAAAGGGCAACCAGGAATAATCTGAATCCAGCTTCTGAATATTTAGTGGGGGTGTCTTCCAAATTGTATACAATTACTTCTCAAGACTACTAATAGAAGGCACACATGCCGTCTCCTGAGGAATCCAAATATAAGTATAAAATGAGTATAGGATCATACTAAAGTACTCCATTTCAAACCTACACTGTTGAGGCTGCACTGATTCCACTGCTGTATTAGCTAGCAGCTTATCTCACTTCCAAAACAATGTGGCCTCTTAAAAATTATCTGTTTTAAATATTGCTCAGTTAAGCAACTACTTTCCAGGTATTACCTAGTAGGGCATAATAAAAATGTGTTATCCAATTTTCCAGTGAGGAAACTACAGTACAGAGTAAGGTTAACTCATTTTCTCTATGGTTTTACAGTGATCTGTTCTTAGCCTGATTCATATGCATACAGTGGTTGTACCAGATCTAGTGGTGTGTTTCTCTTTCATATCCACATCCACACAAATGATGCATGTCTAAATGGAACTGGGATTAAGTGAGAGCCAGGACTCTGGAAGAAGACCATTGGGTTCTTGGCCACCATTTTATGTTGAGTTGATGGCAGTCACCCATTCTTAGCAAACAAACAGAAGCCTCAATGCCCACACTGAATCCAACTCAGGTAACATGCAGGTTGCCAAATTCTGAGCTCAAACATGTGAGTAAACAAGAGTAACTTGCAAATCCTGAGTTTAAAAGAGGATCGGGCATCATTCTACATTTATGGGACAGTCTGCTTTGGACTCCAAGGATTACTTTTGGAAGAGAACATGGATACTATGCAGGAATTATTTTGAAAGAACTAAGTAATCTTGGGGGTGGAGAGGAAGAGCATAGATTTCCTATAATATTAATTTGTTGGCTATAAAATGGGTTTCCAAATACTTGGGAAAAGCTTTTACCCAGTATTAGCAAATTCCAGTGTTTTGGGGAATTGTTTTGCACAAAGCGTTTTGCATTAGAATTGTGGGCATTGGCACACACACACAACATTGCTTCCAGGCAACTACATGTTTTGTTTTTGCAAGATTGCTCTTCTTTACACAAAAAGCAGCAATTCTGCATAAGAAAAAAATCTTTCTACATAGGAACCCCATTGAGGGTCAGAGATGGAGAGGCAGGATGGATGTATATAGATTGGCAGGTAAATGGAGATAGATTCTGGGAAGCAGAAACAGGATATCAGGGTGGTTCATGAGAGAAGCATGGTGGCTTGTAAGAGTCACTTGTCCCCTTTTCTGCACCCTTGGAAATCCCTGAAGCCCAAGTCTAGATCAGACAATTCTGAATACCCCCCTGCTGCTTTCTCAGGTGGCCTCCTTGCTGTCCAGCACTTCTTTCTCTTGGGCTACACTTAGTGGCAGCTTCTGAAGGTGGTCCTTGTGTCCTCTCTTTGGCTCTTACCCTGGTAGTTTAGCTTCAGGGAAACAAGAAAGAGCAACCCAAGCTACTAACAGATTTCCTGAATAGCTGTGAGGATGCTATCCCTTCTCTACTTCTCTGTGGCACTCCTGGTACCTTGATTTGACTTTGGATTAAATCTGGGGGTTCTTCTCTTTTTCTGACTTCTGGTCTCCTGTGGCCACTGTTCATCCTTGCCTTGATTTCACTACTATCCTCAGCATGAACCAATATTTCAAGTTTGCAACCTCCTTAATGTTTGACAAGTGAGCACTCCATAAAAGTTGTCAGCAACCATAAAAACTAATGGGACAAGCAGTACTGCTGGCCCATCTTCAATAATTGGGCAATGGGGATCAGATGAAGCAGCAACCTCCCAATGGTGCCTTGCTATTTCCATGCTGTCTGAAGAATAGTGAAATCTGAAGCATCAGAAAGCAACTTTTTCAAGCAGCAACAATATGTAGCTAACAGTTATATCATCTCACAAGAAGTTCATCTTACGGCTGAGTTTAAAGTGAATAGGGTAGTTGAAAGAGATCACAATTAGTCTATAGAACTCAACAGCTTTAGCTTTTCAGAGACATAGTCATGTGAGTCTGGAATATGAGTATGCAAAGGGCTCTTGTAGCACCTTAGAGACAAACAAAGACAGCAGGATTTGGTAGCATAGGTTTTCATAGACTTTAAGTCTATTATAACTTATGCTGCAAACTTCTTTCTCTCAGATGGTCTTAAAAGTGCTACAAGATCCTTTTGTATACTTTCTTTAGCTGTTGCTGTCATGTTCTCACTAAAGTGAGCTCACAGAAGAATCAAGGCCTAAAGAACGCAGAGGAAAGAGCAGGCAAGAAAACGGTCTTGAAAATGGCAAGGGAAATCATCAAGTGGACAAGTACTAACTATTCTCATCACTCATCAGAACAATAATGACAAATTATGAATTTATTTTGAAATACAAACTTTACAGTACTATTGTTATGAATGAAGCACATTAATTAGGATGCAAAAAACCAAGACATAGGGAATGTAACACTGTCATTACTAGAAAGATCTGCACTTGCTGCAAATCCCATTTCAACTCAAAAATAACAGATTACAAAATGTAATGTGGAAAGGGTTGTGTTGCGAAGCTCAAATGATTTCTAGAGTTAGAAGCAACTACTCAGATATGAGTGCCTCAAAATTAGAGTTTATGAGAAAAATGAACTACAATCCTCAGAATCTCCCAGGAACATAAAAAAACTTTCCCAAGCTTGCTCAAAACCTAGTTGCAAGGGTTGATGAATAAGACTAAGGGGTCACATTGTGGAATGCATAAATTGAAATAGGCCTCATCACCATCGGATAAACTTTCATTTTGCACTGGGTGGTAACTGTCAAGAGCAAGGTTGGCCAGACAGATACATTATGCCAATCAGTGCATATTTTAAAGCAAGTTTTCTACAAATGGAGACATTGTCACAGACAAACAGTGGACAGTTCTTCTACAATAAAGCAGCTATTACAAAAGAAACCATTATACCTGACTCTGTCCAGAAAGACTGAAACCTATTTATTTTTGGATCTTTTATGCTTAGCTTGCATTCTTAATTCACAAGGGAAAGCCATCAATACAATGCACCAATAAATAGTCAAAGAAGGAAACCTTTGCAAAAGAAAACATTGACATTCTACCAAATATGGGCATTCTGATGAGGAGTACATTCATTTTGTATCTTATTTTGATTGCATTCCCTCCAACAATCTTCACAGAACAAATCCTAAATGAGTAGTGCATAGAACTAACAACTCAGATATAACTCTGCCATGTAATTTGAATGACGGCTTTATCCAAGTTTAATAATAATAATAATAATAACAACAACAACAACAACAACAACAACAACAACAACAATTTTATTTCTTACCCACCTCTCCTTGTGGCTCAAAGCAGGTCACAACATCACTAAAAACACACAGTCATCTAAAAGCACTCTACAACATACACATATAAAAATATATTTCTACAAAATACATATTAACACACAAACATTAAAGAGGAAAATGAGTTATGAGAGCAGCAGACAACATCACCTTTGGCTAAGGGTTTCGTTATCACTCACCCATGCAAAAAATAGGAAGAACAAGCAGAGATGGCAACAGCATATACATACATATATATATATATATATCTGTAAAATATCTTCACCACCACTACAAAGAAACCACATTCTGTTTGCTGTTAGGAAGCAGATGAGACTAAAACCAAAATGGAAGGTCTGGGTGCTACTTACTGTCACAAACATAGGGTTTATCATGGTCATCCATGGAAGAAACATCATTCCTTCGCCTACCACCTCCAGAGCCTCTGGCCTAAAAGGAAAACAAGCTGTTACTGCAAATATTGGAGATATTGGTCCCCAAAGTATTTTTTGCCGGTTTATAATACACATACAAGATGAATATCCTTTATTCAAAACAATTGGGACCAGAAGTTTTTTTGGATTTTTTTATTTTATATTTTGGAAACTTGTATTTGCATATTGCATATATTGACTATCTTGGAGATGCAACCCAAACATAATTCATTTATGCTTCATATATACCTTACACATATATAGCCTGAAGATAATTTTATAAATATTGTAATAATTTCGTTCATAAAAAGGTTTGTGTACACTGAACTATCAGAAAGCAAAGGTGTTTTAGATGTTGTAATTCCCGATAAGGGATGTTCAACCTTTTTTTAAAATCCTGTTTGGTTTCAACACATGCATAGTTACACACACATGAGAACTCATGAACATGGTAGGTTAATTAGTGGATAACATTTTTTAAATAATGAGGCCAGTCCAAAGTTACAACACAGAGGACTCTGGAGACCAGGTTTCAAATTGCCGCTTGGCTATTGAAAACCACTGGGTGACCTTGGACAAATCACACTATTTTAGAGAAATCATAGAATCATAGAGATGACAGAGACCAAATGGGCCATCTAGTCCAATAGGAGCCCCCGGTGGCGAAGTGGGTTAAACCCTTGAGCCGGCAGGACTAATGACTTGAAGGTTGGGTTGCTGACCTGAAGGTTGCCGGAGAGTGTGGATGAGCTCCCTCTGTCAGCTCCAGCTACCCATGCGAGGTCATGAGAGAAACCTCCCATACGTATGGTAAAAACATTTTTTTAAAGGTATCCGGGCATCCCCTGGGCAACATCCTTGCAGACAGCCACACCAGTAGCGACTTGCAATTTCTCAAGTCACTCCTGACACAGAAAGAAATAATAATATTCTAGTTCAATCTCCTGGCAGATGGCCATCAAGCTTCTGTTCAAAAGCCTTCAAAGAAGGAGCTTCCACCACACTCCAAGGCAGAGAGTTCCATTGCTGAACAGCTCTCACGGTGAGGAAGGTCTTGCTAATGTTCAAGTGGAATCGCCTTTCCTGTAATTTCAACCCATTGGTCCAAGTCCTAGTCACCAGGGCAGCAGAAAACAAGCTTGAAGATAAAAGCAAACCTCCACTGAACAAATCTTGCCAGGAATATCCCAAAATCAGTTTACTTTGGGGTTGCCATAAATTGGAAATGACTTGAAGGCACATAGTAACAAAAACTATTGAAAGTTCAATCTTTTAAAAAAGCAAACCAGGTAGCCACATCTGTTGGCAATCTTAAAGCATTTGAAAAGTTAATGGAAATGAGCTTATTAATTTAAACACATCATTGATAATAATTTCTGGTACTGGGGAGAGTGGGGGGGGGGAGAACTAGTAACATGCATATAAATGGATATCTATTTGTTTTTTCTCTTTTGTCCATGTTGGGGCATGAGAGAACTGAACAGCAGCTAGCACAAGATTAGATTTTGGAAATATGTTCCTCCTTGGATTATAGGTTCCTGAATCCCCCAACCAGTGCAGCTAATAGCTAAACTGGCTAGACAAATTGTGAAACGAAATCCCAAAAGTATCTAGGTTGAGATCTATTCTGCATTATTAAAAATAAACAATTTGTATGCATTCTCATGTTTCCAGACTACATAAAGCACACTATAGAATCTGAGGCTTTACTGCCTGCCCATTATTTCTAGACAAAGTTCTTAAGTCTCTCCTTGCAGATCCACATGTCCTTGGCTTTCAAATCTCTTTGCCAGCACTCTCACAATTTCATGGCTGGCCTCAGGGGGGGCTGACAAATAGACAGCCACCCCAAAGGCATGGACCTGAGTGCCACGTGCTTGCTGTCAGGGCTTCAGTCTGTGGCATTCAGTCATCCACGGCTGCCTTCAGTCTCCTGCCATTATACAGCAAGGAATTGATGTATATAGCAGAAAAGCTTCAGCAGAGCAGCCTTGGAGCACTCAAATGAAGCCAAGCAGGGATGCTTGCCAGAAGGACAGATGAAGGGGCCTGAGATTAAAAATGAAATCATGCCGTAGGAAAAGGAAGGACGTGCACAAATTTGGAATGACCAGTATGTTAGATCCACTGTACTACTTCTATTGCAATGCTGTTAATCCCTTTGCTTGTGCTCTGAATCAACCAAATGTTTATGGGCCTAAATTTTAGAATTATGAGCAGCAGAAAATCAAGAGAGCTTTAGAAAATCTAAAGTAGGGAACAATTACTTCCTTAAAGAGGTGTGAGGCACCTTGTTATTGTGTAGTGCCATATCATTTATGACATATGGTGACCCCCCCCCTACCCAAAGAAACTTATCACAGAGGTTTTTTGACAGGTTTTGTTCAAAGGGGGTATGCCTTTGCCTTCCTCTGAGGCTGAGAGTTTTTTACCTGTCCAAGTGTTTGACACACCTGGTACACCTGTTTGGATATAATCTGATGTGGCTGCAAACTGGAAGAGATTGCCAACACATTCTTACAGACCTTTTCCTTTTTACCATGATATCACCAAATACTGATTTTTCCTTTGTAACATTGTGTCTCCAGATCATAGACAGTAAAGACTAAGCCAGAAGATAGCAAGTTATGATTACAATCAATAGGTAACTGGAGGTGGGGATTGTAAAGAAAAATCAACTTGTGAAAATGACAGTCATTCTGAGAGTCATACTAGACCAAATTAATGCTTGTGGTTCAATTAAAAAACGGTTGCAGAGTCTGTGGTGGGATACCTTTGATTCCTATCAGAGCTACAACTGATCAGAGGACTGCATGTAGCATAATTCATGTGAAAATGATCTAAAAGTCATAATAGAGCATTAGATCAACTTGAGTGTGATGTGGAAACCAAAAAGGCCAACACAGTCTGTACATTATGCGTCAACAAAAACATACTTTAGAGCCTGAGGAAAGCAACAGTAATACTCTGACCTACTTTGACCAGACTTCATCTGGAATAGATGGCCCTTGCAATCCTCTATGTTCCTATCATTCTATAATCCTATGTTGGCAATTTTATCTATTGAACTCCTATTTCTAAAATCCCTATTTTGGCTAGGAGATTCTGGGAGTTGTACCCACCTCCCAATAACTTTTTCAAATGCTTTATTAGACACATGCCCACCCCACTTTTGATCCTGTGCATGGTGAGGATGGGGTGCCACCTAAAGAAGCAAAACAACATGCAAAAATAGTGTATTGAGTGCGCTCCTATCTGCAGCTTGTCACTCACAGCTTTCCCTCCCTTCTAGTATGAAGCCTTGGTCAAGTAAAAAGTGGTGTGGGGGGAAAGTGAAGGAAGGATGATGGTGAGAGTTTCTATCTCACACCCAATCTACCTACACCTTTTTAAGGGACTCTACCTCACACTACTTTACATATGAATTGGGTAGACTAGCAACTCAATCACAGGTCCCTTTTACGCTATAAAACTACAGCACTATAATTCCACTTTAACTGCCAGGGCTGTGCCCCATGAAATGTTGGGATTTGCAGTCTGGTGAACCACTAAAGCTTTGTAGCAGAAAATAAAAATACTCTTTCATCAATTTCAAATCCTTGGCATCCATTGGATGGATCCATTCATAACCATGGTGCTATAACTGCGTAGTGTGAAAGGGCCCACAGTTACAAAATGTCTCCCCTCATTCTATATAACCTGTAAGTCAGCTTGAAATGGGTAGGAAACATTAACTTTGAATATGTTTTTATCATTTTTAACTGTGATTTTTAAATACTGTTTATATTTCATTGTTTTAATGTTTGTATATTTGTATATTTTAAATTGTACGGTAATGTTTTTATATTAAACCACTTTTGGATTCATCACACAAGAGAATGAATCCACTTAAAATCTGGTTTCTACCTCCTGCAGAATTTTGGGGTTTGTAGTTTAGTGAAGCTGTTAAAGGCTCCTCCCTAAACTACAAACCCCAGAATTCTGCAGGAGGCAGAAACCAGATTTAAAATAGGTTGTTGTAGGGTTTTTGGGCTATATGGCCATGTTCTAGTAGCATTCTCTCCTGACATTTCACCTGCAACTATGGCAGGCATCCTCAAAGGCTGTGAGGTCTCACAACCTCTGAGAATGCCTGCCATAGACGCAGGTGAAACGTCAGGAGAGAATGCCTGAAAAACCAACAACAATCCAGTGATCCCAGCCATGAAAGCCTACAATAGATTTAAAATGGATTCTCCTTCAGGAGAGATAAAGTGGGTCACCTTCAGGAAAGACAAAGCGGGGAACAACAACAACAACAACAACCAGCGCTCTCAAGCCAAGGAAAGGCAGGATAGTCAAAGAGGATAGAGGTCAAAAAGGAGATTTTAAACACTGGAAACATCAACAGACAAGGAGATTTAAACGGAGATGAAAATCTAGGCTGCAGTTTATTCTTCTTCATTTTGGACTCTTTACTGCTACCAGTAACACAACAGTCTGTCACCTCCCTCCTGCATTCTTCCTCTGGCACAAAATAATGCCATAGCTCATCAGTAGCCTTGTTTTTCCCTCCACACAATCCATTAAATAGGGGATGGAGGAGTATTGATGGAGGAGTATAGAGAAGTCCTTGTGAACATTTTGCTAATGTAAAAGCATTTCCTGCTGTGACTCTGCAACTGGAGGTTTGCAAGGGCTGGTGTGGCTCAGTCCTGAGAGCCTCCAGCAGTTCACTCCGGAGAGCAGAGAGGGCCAGAAGAGCCAGGCAGCGTGACGAGGGGGAGGTGAGCTGCCTGCCTTCACACTGTGTGGGTTTCCTGCCAGGGGAGATGATTATTGAGAGCCTCCAGCTGCAGAGCCATGCGGAGAACGCTGATCAATAGCCAGCTCTTCCCTGCATTGAAACCGCCGAGGGAAAATATACTGCATCCAGAGATGCAGATATAACAAATGCCAAATGATAAAAGTTTCTCTTGGCACAAAAACATATGTATAATTTGAGTTTGGGGGAGAAGAATAATTCTGTTCCCACTATTAAAAAAACAACAACATTCTAAACCAAAATCAGAAAGTGTAACTGGGGGTAATCATCCCATAGAAAGATATAATTTTGGATGAGCTGCGACTGAATCGTCAAAAATATCTACCCTACAGTTGTAGCAGTTCAAATTAACTACCATGGCTTTATTTTATGGAGTTTGGGATTTGTAGTGTGCTGAAAGACATGGAATTCTCTGTTTGAGAGCTCTAATGTAGTTATGTGACAAGAGAATTTCAAGAATCCAAACCATAGTGTAGACCAGGGCTTCTTAAACTTTTCCACTCACAGTCGCAATCCCTTTTGGCCCAGGAAATTTTTATATGACCCCTGGAATATAGGTATATAAAATAGGAGAGACCCAAAACAATTGCGCTTACCAGAAAGCTATAGCGTAGCATTAAGCTCTTTGTCTAGCAAACCCAATGAAATTTATGGGGCTAGCATAAGTCAGCAGACACCTTGAAAACACACACACACACACACACACACAAACTATCTATCTGTGAACATATAGAAACAATGAGTGTGAATATGAAAACAGCATTTGTTTTCTTCCTTTCTTCCTCTTTTGTGGCTAAAACCACCTACCCGTCCTCTGGGTCTGTTCTTTCGTTTTGGGATATCTTCTTCCATCTCTTCCTCCTCATGTGCTTCATCTGCATTTTCATCATTTTCCAGAACCCTCTGTCATTAAAACAATAAACAGTAATTAAAAAGAAATCCCAGCACAGCAGAGGATTTTTAGTATAAGAGCAAAGATGGAGGAGAATATACAGTACATAACACCAGCATTTTGATCAGAAGTGGGAATCATGAAGTTTTGCAGATGTTGTTGAACTGCAAGTCCCAGCAGTCTCAGCCATCATAGTCGATGGCAAGTTGCAGTTCAACAACATCTGGAGAGATGTGTGTTTCCCATTCCTGATTTAGATACATAAATTGCAAGGATCATGCTATTTCAGAGCATGAACTCTACAAGTTGTTCTCAAGGAGTACATTAAGCAGGGCTGTTCCAAATATTTGCACCTGACTATTTTCAACATCAAATATAGAGGTAAGAGGGGTGTTGATTGATTGGAACCTACCCTTGTTTGCCTTACTGACAACTGTTTGTAAATGTTTCGCAGTCAGCTTCAACCTGGGCCCACTTATTTTTCATAGTGTTCTATTTTTCCTCGAAGGTGTCAGTGACATCAATACATTACCAGTGCAATGACACTGGTGGCTAACGTAGCTTTTGTGGCAGTGAATCTGCCCAGGTTTTAATACAGACTTTAAATAAGATACATCTGGACTCTGCCAGAATGGAGATATATATATATAGAGGAATTGAAAGATTCTTGTTTTGGGTGGCTTGCTCCTCCAGGCTTTTAGAAGCCCAAAAGAAGGGAGATGGCTGTGGGGACTCACCCCAGGTAGTCCCAGGACTACCTGGGGGTGAATCCCCACAGGCCCAATACCCCATTAGATCCGGTACTTTCAGAAAGGCCTAGATCAAATGGAATATCTAATTAATTCCTGAATTAATTTGCTTTTACCTGAGGCATTCTCTGGATGTGTTCTGTCGCCACTGGGCCTGTACACAATGTCTTTATTCTATAGGACGCACACTTTAAACCAAGTGGGAAGCCGGGGTGCCCAAAGAGAGATTGTTAGAGACTTCCAGAAGTAATGGGCTTTAGAGTTCTTTAAAAGTACAACAAAGTCTTTATTAAGGAACAAATCTTCAAACAAAACTTCAAGGCTTTACTATTCTAGTCTTTAAGAGACTGGCATTAACTTGGTTTAACTGTACTATCTCAACATGAAGAAGAACCCTTCATAATCTCTCCCAGGCCATCCATCACCTAGGCCTCGCTGGTCTGGGTATAACTACCAATCCCAAATGTATCTGGAAACCAAGTAACCTACCAGACAAAGCTAGAAGATATTTAGCTGGAATTCTGTGGTTCTGTAATGCTGTCCTGTGGAAACTTCAGGGCTGTTTTCCCCTCTGGTGCTGTGAGGCTGAGAGGCTGTGAGCTCTCAGCCAGAGCCTTTGGGACCTTTTCCTTCCGTTTCCCTGGAACTGTATAGTCAGTTTGGACCCCGGATGGTCTTGAGGAATGAAGCCTTTCCTACGGGACAAACTGATTTGTGGCCTATAGGCTGGCTTCCTTGTGTGTGACTGACTAAAATGGTTCCTCTCTCTTCCCAAAACCCAGAAAAAGGGGCAGAACCAAAGCTAAATGAAGATGGACAGGGGGCTTGCCCTATGACTGCAAACTATAACAGGAAGCCACCCTGCTGCAAAATCCCAAGCAAAATCCCAAGCCTGGGATTGCAAACAAACCTTTAGTTCAAAGCAAATAAAATTGGAGCTCCTGGAACAGCTGTTCCAGAACAGGATGCTTCAGGTAAATCCCGACAAGCCTCTCATTTTTGGGGTTGTCTGGAAGGGCCCAGAGACCCCTAATGGCATAGTGCTTGTTCTTTAAATAACATTGAGATGCAAATATAAGAACTGAATTTTTTTCTTTACCTATTGTGCAGTGTTAACTTGCATTTCTTGTATCTTCTGCACTGTTCATTTGCATCTCTTGTATCTCATTGAAACTTACTCCTTTTCCAAATTTTATGTACATTCCTCCTCTAAGTAAAGGAGAATTAACTGGGCTGCCCATTGAGCTGTGAGGGATTTTCTGATATTTTATAGTACCTCACAACAGTTTGTTAGTTACGCCTACATCAGAACACAATTTCTTTTTCACACATAAGAACAAATATGATTATGTATAGTGGCTGGGATTTACTTTGGTATATTCTCCTGCAAATCACAGCATGAAGGCATAAGAGATTAATAACCTGATGCCCAAGACAAAATAACATCATAAGTAATTATTTCAGCATCACAGTCATCCTTCCACATTTTGTGGTTTTTGACTTCTGTGGAATTGATTATTCACAGATTTGGTTAAAATGTTCTCCCTAAAAGCCCTAGGTCGGGGTAGGGAACCTTTGGCCCTCCAGCTGTGGTGGACTTCAACTCCCACAATTCCTTGAGGCTCGGCATTGGGCCAAGGTAAGCCTTTGGGGCGAATGCCGAGCCTCAAGGAATTGTGGGAGTTGAAGTCCACCACAGCTGGAGGGCCAAAGGTTCCCTACCCCTGCCCTAGGTTCTCCAGTGTGATTCTACGGTCATCTTCAAGTGGGAGTCAACCATAGAGTAATGCTGGTCTTGAAATTTCTAGAGACATGTTTTATCAGGTAAAAACATAGCAATGCCTTTATTCTTCACTTTCACTGGGATCCTGTGCCCCTAACTCCAGCAAATGTGGAAGGCTAAAGTATATAGAGAGGAAATGTGAAGAGTGCTCCCAGTCACCTGGATTTCTTGTAGAGTGTCGTCCTCTTTAGTATCTATCTTCTTTTCAAGCCCTTCTCCACGTAGCAAAGCTTCCAGTGTGGTCCCCTCTGATGTGAAACCATCCTTCTTTAGGGGCAGGTCAACTTCTGAAAAAGCAAATACAACAGAAGTTGCAGTTATTTTCTATAGACCAAGAATGTGAAACTAACAGTTAATCACAGAATGCATGCTATTTAAAATGAGGGGGAATAAGTAAAATAATATCCCTTACATAAAATAGCAAAATCAAAGTTTGCTTCTTAGAAAATACTTTCAAGCCGTGGTTAGTCGATTCCATAGAAACAGAATTTGTGGAAGGCCAATTGTACACTGAGTTGACCTTATGGATCCCATGTTCTAATTTGTGGGAAGTAAAACATTGCTTGCAATTTCATTATGAAAATTAGAAAGGCAAAATAGACACAGCCCAAATCATTCATTTCAGGACAAACTTGTAGGAGAAGAGAAAACCCAGACCTGTCCTTGCAAGAGCATTTTATGACAACCAGTGGAAACAAACACTATCAATTATGTTCATCCATCAAAACACCTATTTTCCCTTTCTAATTTTCTGCACAGGCCGATGGACCATATTTTGATTGCACAACAAAGCACTGAATTAGATGCCACTAAGCCGCAGTCTCGCTACATAGAATGTCAGTTCCATTTCCAGTTGTGATTGGGAACAGAGGTACTTATCGGGTGAGCTCGGGCATTATCTGTCACTCCAGAGACAGCAGGTACTGTGCAAAACCAAAGCAATCCAGCTTCCCCAGAAATGCTTACACAAGGATTATACAAACATTATGTCACATTGCGTCTTGGACCCATTTACTCTTATAAACAAATACCACATAACTGTATATCATGATTGATTCCAGTTAAGTACCATTTTGGATGGCAAATGTCTGTGTGTCTGTGTGTTCGGGGGGAGAAAAAGAAGGACCCAGCACATCAGAGATCTACTGCTGAGCAAATGTAGCCACTGAGCTCATTAACAGGACATGGCAGGATGTGCCTTAAAGGGCAACTCAGTGGCTCAGTGAGCAATTAAATCTCATGTCAGTCCCCAATGAGAATCTATCAGTGTCACAAGCATATAATATCTCAGTCCTATTGCTGTTTCCCACCACTCACGTTTTTATTTATGGTGGACTATTTGGAACAATGGAAGTCAGAACCAATATCGTGAAATATGCCATGGGAAAGAGGTATGAAACAGATGAAGCCCCCTCCTCTTCTTCTGGGAAATATGCAGAGAGAGAAGCTGTCTGTTAGCTGTCTAGTTTGCAAAAGATACCATCTTTTGGGATGGTGCTCTCTGCCAGCATATGGAGAGCCCCAGGGGAAATGGTGGTGAAAAACCCAGACAAGCCGCATCCATCCATCCATCATATTGCTCATTTCCACATCTCTAAGGCATAAATATAGCATTCGAGGGCAGGGGAGGGGGTAGAGTTTTAAGGAAGAGCAGCGGACGGGGTGTGGAAAAAACAAACATGTTTGTGTGCACAGTGAGATTTTTAATTATATTAAGTAAATAATACAATCAGGTTGAGATAGTATTCAGGGAATTCCTTATTTTGTTTTAAAAATGGGATAACCTACATCCATTAAGTATTTTTTGTTGGTCCCCAAAAAAGGTGACCGGGGGGGGGGGTGATGATCTCTGTAACAGACCTCAGAGTCATTCTGCTGTGACACTCATTCTGTACAATCCTCTGCCGATGCTAAATAACGTCCATTTCTACCAGTCTCTCCACAGCCTGTCTGTCTCTGCTCTGTTCTGCCTGCCTGCCCCCATATCAATATACAGCACTCAAACTCTTTGCCATTCGTTGACCAACATAGGAAACAAGACACTGGATAGAAAGGCCTTTGGTCTGATTCAGCAGGGCTTTGCTTATGTTCAAAAGCAACATCCTAATCAAACTTCTAAGTCCATGTTCTGTTATTCTGACAGTTTAATATTCCAGAGAGCAATGGGGTAATTGGACACTCTAGAGGCCAGTGCGCTTCCCTTCCAGCAAGGCCAACTAGTCTCACAAGATGAAAGAAAAAGCAAGAATTGGTGCGTTCTGGGATTTTGCGATTCCACAGTACACTGGTATTATAAATTACACCAGGATTGCAGGGTGTCTTTGAATTTCAAGCCAGTTCTATATTTGACCTAGAGGAGTTCTACTTTCAAATCATACTCCATGCATTAATTTTTCAAGTCTCCAGTTTCTTAAAGGCCATGCTTCTCTTTACAGAACATTTCAAATGTCTGCCTCAATAAAGTTAAAAAAATCTGATATATCTGTATTTAAACATTTAATGCTTTTATCTTGTTCATTTAAAAAAACACAATTGTGCTAACAGTTTCATCTACAACTATGTTATCTATATCTGTATTTTAAAATCGAAGTACAGATATCACACTTGTAGACAAAATGGTTACTGTTACTGGGAGTTTTATCAAATGAACACAACCCAGGCATTATTCAAACTGACTGAGAAATGCAATAAAATTTCACAAACAGCAATATTATACCAGTAGGATTTCACTTTAACTGCACGGGCTCCATCCAACATCTTGGGATTTATAGTTTGGTGAGATGCCTTTCCCTGAGCTATAGCGCTAGAGCAGTGGTTCTCAATCTGTGGGTCCCCAGATGTTTTCACCTTCAACTCCCAGAAATCCTAACAGCTGATAAACTGGCTGGGATTTCTGGGAGTTGTAGGCCTAAACACCTGGAGACTCACAGGTTGAGAACCACTGCACTAGAGCATTCTGGCAAAGAAGTTTGAGTTCCCCTTACCAAACTACAAATCTCAAGGCTCCATAGGATGCAGCCATGCCAATTAAAGTAGCATCAAAGTATAATAATTGTGTAGTAGATGTATTCAATGTTTCTGAAGATGATTGGGTTTAAGAAGGTTTGCAAGAGAGAGAAGTTAGGCAGCCAGAGGCATTTTTCCAAAGTTATTTGTTCTTTATTCGTTCAGTCACTTCTGACTCTTCGTGACCTCATGGACCAGCCCACGCCAGAGCTCCCTGTCAACCGTAACCACCCCCAGCTTCTTCAGAGTCAAGCCAGTCATTTCAAGGATACCATCAATCCATCTTGCCCTTGGTCAGCCCCTCTTCCTTTTTCCTTCCATTTTCCCAAGCATCATTGTCTTCTCTAAACTTTTGTGTCTTCTCATTATCTGGCCAAAGTACTTCATCTTTGTCTCTAATATCCTTCCCTCCAGTGAGCAGTTGGGCTTTATTTCCCAAAGTATGGACTGGTTGGATCTTCTTGCAGTCCAAGGCACTCTCAGAATTTTCCTCCATCACCACAGTTCAATAGCATCTATCTTCCTTCGCTAAGTCTTCCTTATAGTCCAGCTCTCACATCTGTAGGTTACTATGGGGAATACCATTGCCTTAACTTTGCGGATCTTCGTTGCCAGTGTGATGTCTCCACTCTTCACTTTTCCAAAGTAGATCAGCCTTATCTAAAACTAAAATCCTCCAAATGTTGTTGGACTTGCCCTGCCCTGTCTTACAGTGATTGGGATTGTTATTGTCCACTAGGATCAAAGGGAGGGGCTATATGTTGCCATCCCTGACCCATATAGAGGAAGAGCAAATAATCTGGGTGACAGAAGCTATCATTTGTGCCCACTTTATTCGGTTACACAGAAACCACAAGTCAACACAAAGGAATTAACAGTCTCTTGGGCTATTTCTAATGATGTGGGGCAACATGCATACATGCTATGTGTTACATATATATACCCAGAATGTCAATTGTGAAGGATAAAAATCCATTTGCAGAAACATCCAGAATATATACTTATCAGGAAGCCAGAATTATTGGCTACAGCTTCTCATTGAGCATCTGCTCACTGACAAACCTAGGTGACCTCAACGTAATATGCAAAACAGCCTTTAGATATAAAGGGAAACTGAAGGGGAAGATTATATGCCAATTACATATGAGAACAGTCAGTACAATCACAATTTTCCAGAGACTCCTGCAATCATTTATCAGGTCCCAGACCTATCATTTAGAAATCACTGGTGCCATCAAAGCATTTAATCACAGATTCTGGCATTTGATTCCCACCCCTCAATGCCAATGATTCCGAAGCATAATTTAAACATAAATAAATAAGTAAAACAAAAAGATAACAATTTCACTTTGGCTCCCAGACTGTTAAATGATAGTATAAATATATCCTTTTAAAAAGCATGCAGTGATGGTTACACATGTTGCAATTAAGCAAGACGACTTGAGGGTTAGTTTCAGCAGATCCACTCTAGAATATTCCATATGGTGATCTAATTTGATTTCGTATACACAAGAAGTGGACAATATTTCTTGAATATGTTGTTCATTCAAGGTTGCCTTGAGACTAAAATGACAGAGAAGACTAGGCTTGTCGTTAGCCCCAGGGTTGAAGAAATCACTTTTTTTTGGCTTGCAGCTTCTGGATTCCTCCAGCCATCATTCCAAGTAACATTTCTACATAATTCCCAGAACTTTTATTCAACAGCACTTGAGATACTAAAATCCATTTTAATTTTTCAAAATGTCCCATAACAAACCTACACTAAACAACACAAAGAACGGTAGGAAATGAAAGTGTCATCTCCCAGCTACTCTTTAGAAATACTGCTGATGGAATAATGTAGACCTCAGAGAGCAAGTAAACTACTACCACTCATTATTTGTATGTATTTATTTATTTTGTGTCAAAAGTATTGCATAAATAATTTTAAAACTGATAAAATAAAGGGCTCACAAGCAGCTAAATAGTTTTAGATCAAAAAGAGATCCCACTGATTAGAAATATATGAAAATGAAGCTTTGTGTGTGTGTAATGAGTACTGAAAAAACAAGATTTATGGCAATAGAGCACATGCAGGTGGGCAAAATATACCCTGCAGACTCAGCAAGACTCTGAACAGTGAGAAAAGACACCGTATAGGAAAAAGAAACACTCCAAGTCACTAGGGTGTTAATGCCAATAAGAAAATCTTTAGACAGAGTCACAGCATATCGAGTCAGAAGACTGCACAGCCAAAAGATCCATAGCACAAAAATGAGTAGTGGCAGAAACACAGGAGAGC